TTTTGGTGCATTCCAGGGCTTTTGAGTTATGGTAAATTCCCAGAAGTTCTGCTGTATATCCTCGCGAAATCCACCTGTGAGGTAAAAGTGATCAAGGAGTCGACGTAAAGCTGCAATGACATCAGGAGGAAAAGAATAAAGCCTGATACAACTTGAGCCAGAGATAGCAAGAAGGCCAAAGATGTTCGTAGCTCGTTGTTCACGAATGAACTCTTTCCTTGGAATGAAGCCAGAGTCTGTTACAGAGCCTGGCTGCATGTTTGTGATGGTTGGCCGAGACTAGGTGCGACCGGCGGATACAACAAAGTGACAGAGATATTGGAGAAAGAGAGGCACGGAGAATCGGGATGGACTCCAGGCGGAAAACGGCTGGCAGCAAGGTCAGCAAAGGAAGGACATCAAGCCCAGATCGATTAAACTTACTTGGTAGTAAGTTAGTAACAAGTATGCGCTAACCGTTCACAGCAGATTAAAGCAAGGCACACAAGGCGAGGTTGTCCGCAGACGACGCTTGCGCAGCAGAATATTCTTATATGCGCTGCGTGTGTGCAGCCAGTAAATTGGAGACGCGGCTAAGGAGTAGCCACGAGGTTTGCTTAAGGCCTTGTGACGTCACAACGGTTAATGAAACACGTGCTAGTCTTGTGGATTCTTTGACTCTTCCAATTCGGTACTAGACGAGTTTGTACTGAACCTATATCATCGACGCTCCTGGTGCAGAGGAAGGCAGAGAAGGTACGATGCTTATTATATGTGTCAACAAATGCACTCAGAATATTTCGATCAGAACATTTTATTATATACTTATCAGTGTTTATAAATGTCGCTGGCCAGCCAGAGCGACAAGTCCGGCAGGTTGATGCAAACTACATTTGCTGTGGTGAATGAATCCACCTTCGCGATTGGCACCATGGACGTGTCGTTGGCTCGTGCCGATGTGCCTGGGGCGCTTGACACCCTCATCGGGCATGTAGTAAGGGAGGATACCAAGACTCGATTGAGGAAGCGGCTCTTGCGTCCCAGGTGTCTCGCACACCTTCCTCAAGGCACTTGTGAGAGCTTGACTCGGCGTGCAAACCTGCAAGTTCAGCAATCTTCTCGGGATATTCCGCGCCCTTCTAAGTTCTGTGTACAGTGTACGGATCAGGCACTCGCTGACCATCGTGATGACGGTTCGATATTTTTAAGTACTAACTTCCATCTTAGCTTCGAAGCTTCGAGGCTCCGAGCTCCAAGTTCGGAATATCTAACATCACTGCTGGTTCCGACTCGTTGCATAGGCTATCGGCATGGCACAGGCAGACGGCTCTAAATTTAAAGGCCATGCCACAACGAGCGCTGAGCGTTCCTCGTATCCTTGACGCTTATTCGAGCGAGAGTCAAGCTGTTCCTGAAACTGCCCGTGTCCAGCATGATTCTTTTTGCACCGGTAATGACATACATTTGGCTGGACGTTCCGCAATCGGAACCACGAAACCTACTAGTTGGCTTGGGACCAAAAGCCCAGAATGGTGTGGATGATATCCCCTTCTTTGTGAATGGTAAGCAACACCGTTTCTCCAAACGCATTAGGAGGACTACGCCTGAATGTATACACGATTGGTCCTCGTGACATCACAGCTGCACCTAGGCCTTGGAAGTTCCCTCTTCGATGTGGTCTGTGATAAGCTTACATGATGCAACTTTTCCAATATCCGGTCCGACGTGCGCGTTCGGGCCGCTGAGCGTTGCTGGGTTTAAGATAACAGTGACCACTTCCGGAATTCTTTCTTTCATCTTGACCGTTGGTCCTCAGCATCGCTATGTCAGACCTCAATGAATTGAACGTTTTAATGTGTAAGCTGATCAATGTCACCCGACACAATTCTAACCAGGCAATGTACTCGCAACAGGTGGTACTGCGAGTGTTCAATTGACCGGCAATTGGTCCCATCAAGTTTCTGACATGATCTGTAGGGAGAGTACACCACTGGATGGACTGGTTCTGGAGCCTCTACATCTGACAAGAAGGTGTCATATATTTGTCTTATCCATTTTCGCTACCAGCTAAGGCCCGGCTTTCGTAGATTGGGGTATGTGCATCCCCTGACTTGGTCGTTTAGTCAATGACTGAGATCATGACATAAGGTGGTTGGCCTTACGCTGTTCGATCTTCGAAGGTTAGGCAAAGTGCGTAATATTGACAGTGGAACGATTATTTTCCGTGTTTACATCTATCTTGACGTCAGATCGGCAAGCTGGGAATGGTCGGCGTTAATGGTGGCAAATTCCCCGCTATACGCCAACACTTACAAGAGAATATCGAGAATGTTTACAAGGATATGGATACCTCGTGCGTGATCGTGTTGCTATTGCTTATTCTTGACTAACCGCCGATCGCCGATCAGCTTTGAGGAGTACCCGAAAGAGGGAAATATTGATCCTGAGGCTTGTGAGTTACTTCTAAGTGTCCTGTGAAGATGCCTTACCCTACTAGACAAGGATGCCATCGACAAGATGTCTCCCGGAGATGCTATCATCGTGTTTACGCCTGATAGTGAGTTTCGATCTTTCGCATCCCTAACATCTGGTTTTCTCACTAACGAGACCGCTTGTAGGTACTCATCACCCTATTAGCTTGTACGCGATAGAACGTGGCATCCATGTTCTTGTCACTAAGCCCGCAACCAAATTACTATCACATCACAATGAGCTCATCGCAGCTGCGAGAAAGCACAACGTTGTCTGCTTTGTGGAGCATCACAAGCGCTTTGATCCCGTGTATAGTGATGCCAAAGTCAGAGCACAGGCACTGGGTGAATTCAACTTCTTCAACGCATGGATGAGCCAGCCGAAGAGTCAGCTGGAAACCTTCCGTGCTTGGGCTGGCAAGGATTCAGACATCAGGCGAGCTCCTCTGTTCACAAATACATTTGTACGCTGACAGTTTTTTTCTAGCTATTATCTCTCGTCACATCATATTGATATTTGCTGCTGGATTCTCCAAGATAAAGCAGTACCCACGCGAGTTGTTGCCAGTGCAGCAACCGGCATCGCTACAGGGGAGCCGTACAACTGTGTTCCTCAAACAGAAGACACCATCACGCTCCTCGTCGACTGGCAGTCGATCCAGAGTCCGGGACACAAGGGCACAGCAGTCTATACGGCATCTTGGACAGCACCTTTGAAGGCAGGTATTCACTCTGCTCAGCACTGGTATTATATGGGTTCGAAGGTGGGTCGGTCACACGACCGACTGTCCTGCAACAACGTAAAGCTTCTGCTAATCTATTTCGTAGGGTGACATAAATGTTGACCAAGCTCACCGTGGGTATGATATCACTGTCGACGAAACTGGGAAGACATGGTACAATCCCTTCTAGTGAGTTCCTTGGCCAGAAAAAATATGTTAATTCAACTATCCCTTGCTAGTATGAAATATTCGCCATCCGAAACTGGTCATTTCGATGGACAACGGGGATACGGGTATATTTCTATCGAAAAATTCATCGATGCTGCCCGAGAGGTCAACGCTGGCGTTGCAAAACCCTCCGATTATGATGGTTACGGCTATCCGACCATTACCAATACCGTGCTTACAACTGCGATTCTCAATGCTGGTCGCATTAGTCTAGATGAGAAGAGAGCCGTTGGTATTAAGAAGATTGGAGACAAATGGATACTGGAATAGCAGGTTTGCCTTGACGATCTTACGTGCAACAATAGTTTTTTTTTCATCAAAGTTATAGTGTCCTCGAGATCATTCTATTGTATGAATATATATTTGCGAAGAGCGAGTTCTAGTTCCGTGCCACTGCCGCTGAGGAATAACATATGAGCGATGTTGACCACGCAGGTTTTCACTCATTCCCGCGCGCTGTGTCCACCTCTTGTTCATGAACCTTCATTTCCCATAACGATTTCTATTTTTTCTCGTTCTTTTCGCATGAAGAACAGAACAGGCACCCACCTTATGGAAGCCAGTCGATCGGTTTGAAACAGGGAATTTCGGTCGTTGTAGGAAGAACCACCTGAGACGCTCTTGAGAACCTGACAAGTGTGGGAGGCCGATTCATGACTAGCGGTCACAATAACTGACAACCCAGCTTCTTATGATACCTATCAGCTCCTAGTCTCCACCTCGGATATTTAGAATGATCTTTTGCTGTGCAGGAGATATGTACTTCAGCCCTGTTCTGATGGACGTCCCGCCGGAGACAATCCAGCGCCGGTTCCATTCTTGCTAGAAATGAGCGCACTACCAGTATAATGGAAACACCCATTGAGCCTTTCAGATTGCAAATGTAATTGTAAACAAAGTTCGATGTGGTAGAGTGATTGCTGCAACAATGACGAGGATGGATGTGCGGACAGTGTGCAAATGAAAGGGAGAGTAAAAGCACAAGGAAGCGGTTCGCACGATGGGGTACGTGACAGAGAATGCAAGAAATCGCCCCACAACGAACCAGATAGTCGACAGGGAATTTAAAGAATACGATAAAGTGAAGAATAATATAGAATGAATGCGATAGACACAGAATGGGATAGAGGTTGTCGACCTGGTTCGTTGCAAGAAGACGGGAATCGAGAGGGTTACTACGGGTGGGAACGATGGGTGGAGGTGATGCATAGACTAACAAGTGGAATGAATGCAGATAATGTTGTAGTTGGCAGGACGACCAGATATGGCCAAGCAGACCTTCCTTGAGAAGGATGACAAGCGGAAAGGAGAGTGGTACAGGACAGCTATGTCACCCGTCCATCCTTGTATCGAGTATGCAGCACACTGGTGCGAATCCGACTTCTCAAGGCGACCGCTCACCCCACAGTAGATTGTGCGCGGGATGGATGTTGGGAAACGAGACTATTGCAGAAAAAGAAAGTGATGCATGGATGATGAGGCTTGCAAAGACAATGGGCAGAGTGGCTGAGCGTGTAGGGTGGTATTACATTTTGCGGGGGTTGTAACAATCTTTCGACACGGATGGAGTTGACCTGAACAGAAGGTACGGACCTGCGCGCTATGATACGGCGGTCATTCGCGGTGAGCCATTCAAGTGGTGCAAGGCCGGACGGCCAAAGGCAACGAAGTCATGAGGCAAAAAATGGTCAGGCGGGACCTCCGTGCGCTGTTTATTGATGACAGGTTCAAACGTTGTTGGTAAATTTTCCTTATCGTCTTCTGATAGGAAGGAGCTCGAGAAGGGTTCGGGGGAGAACGACGAGGGACTCGTTGGAGTGAGAGGGAAATCATCAGATAGATCAGAGATGGATGTTGTGGCGCTCATAGGCGTGCTGGCACCAGACGTTGATGGGCGAGTGGGCGTCATTGGAAGAGTAATGAAAGACTGCCGAACGAACCGTCCACCCTGGAGGTAGTACTGTACAACGAATGTTGCCGCCTTGGAGTAGAAGGCATACGAGTACTTTTTTACCAGCGTCTCCGAAAGGTCGTTGACATGCTTAGCCAAGCGATTATCGAGATAATCGACGATTTCCAAACATTCTTCCGTTTCTTCAAAGATGCGACGTGGTTTGCCGCACAGGAAGAGAGCTAGCGTGAGTGCTCCGAGTGCTATCGAGGAGGGAGGATATTTGATGAACTCTCGGTAAAACAGAGTGATTTCCATCAGGAAACGTGCAACGTGCTGGACCCTTTCTTCCTCGACAGATGGCTCACAGCACATCAGTCTGAGCCATGCTTCTGCAGTCGGATGGCCTAGTGTCCATTGAATGGTCTGGAGTACATGGCCTTCCATTTGAATGAAAGCGGACTCGTCATATGTGTCGCGACAAATCTGTGCAAGCTCTTGGACTGTGGGAACGCGTTCCTTCGCATCCTCGAACTTGGCAGCAATCCACAACGCTGCGCAGCCTACGAGCTGATAGTGTTTGATGTACACTATTCGCCGAGAGACGTAACGGTCGACAATATTGAGAGTGAGATATAATGTCTCGGGTCGAAGTCGGAAGGTAAAGTGAATCTCAACAAGAAAATCGACGAGACACGGGCGCATGTGCCATCGGATTTCGGGTTGCTGATCCATCGACTGTGAGGATGACATGGTGTATCGCTATACCGGAAGATTAGGCTGCCAGTAAGCCAGTAATAAAAGTCGCACAAACCTCCATCTCGTGCATGTAGAAGCAGATATCTTCCCGGTATTCCTCCTCCAGGAAAATGCCTTGCCTGCGAAGAGCGGTAATTTGAGCTTGACGTTGTCGCTGTTGCAACAGTGCTGCCTTTGCAGAATAAGGGGTTCGGCGGGTTACAGGAGGAGGACCGAGAGGGGACGTCTTGTGATATTTCGATATACCTGAAGGTGATGGCCGTTTCTTAGGATATGCAGCATTTCGAGAACTCCGGTAAGAAGTCGTAGAAATATCTTTCATAACTGAAGAAGCGGCGGGTGAGATCGATCTGGGAAAGCGTACGACCGATAGTGGACTTGAAGGGGGTAATTGAGCGAAGAGAGGAGTAGACTCTGCATCAGCAATGATTTTATCGAACGAGGTAGGAGAAGACATGATTAAATGAGCGAGCGCCTCGAGCGCTCACAAAATGAAGTGAGAGAAATGGTAACAACCACATTACGGCTCAACGCCGCATGTTTGTTTATCATCAATGAGAGGCATTCAGTCTGTCGCAACATGCCGACGTCTATGGAATGGTATTTGGAATGCGCGGTCTCACGACGTGATACCAATTGGAATGGAGCAAGATCTGGGAAGAGCATACTCACCAGAATTAGGAAATGATCATGCGAGGGCGAACAACTTTGAAAAGGTTGTCGTGGAATGAGGATGGTAGTGACGAGTGGCGTGTAGGTGGAGACTGGATATGAACAAGTCGTGGTCAGCGTTGAGGGTCGTAAAAAGTAAAGATAGGTATATCAAGAGAGAGTGTACTACAAAAAAAAGCCTCCTTGAAGAGAAGACTTGTTTGATTGGAGAAGAAGAAGAAGAGTCACTGAGGACACTCGAAAAGAGTATAAGAAGATGGCAAACAGCGCAATCGGCTCGTGAAGTAGTTTGAAATTGAAAAAGGAAATTGAAAGAAAAATTATTGTCCACTTTCATGTGAACTTCTGTGAAAGGTCCAAAATCATGCAAAAATATACCACGGCAGCAACGACGAGGACAAGAAAGATTCGGCCAAGGGAAATCAGACGATTAATGATAATCTCCTTGGTATCCGACTATACTGTCAGACGTTCCTCAGCCCTGCCTCAAAAGCCCTAGATGAGCGCTCAGCGCTCAGGCTCTCTCGGTCGAGACCCCGCAACAAGGGACCCAGCGCATATTCCCACGACCCCACGTTTTACAGCGACCAAAATGTGAATGACATCAATCTCACCTCGAGTGCACTGGTTTGACCGGGTCTTGCTTGTTAGGATATGCTGTCAACTGCCGTTAGCTTTGTCTGCGCTGTCAGGGCCATAAGGTACGCACTGCAAACAATGTCGAGCGACACCGATGTGCTGGCTATCCTGCATTTCACATTCACATCTCATATCAGTCACAATAGATTATATCGGATACTCGGATAACTCACAAGCGGCGTAGTGCAAAGAGAAAATTGGTGTGGGGGAGCGATTAGGGCAAATTATTCAGGCAAAAAGTAGTGCTTGTCGGGGAAGTTGTTGAAAGAATGGGAGTGAAAGACGAGGCAAATGAAAGACTGAGTGAGTTGTTTGTTTCTAGTAGAGTAAAGGCAGAGCAACGACTATAAAAAGTTCGCTCGAAGCTAATCGAGCGTGTGTGGTGTCAAGAGGGGACGTGGCTTTGTACTCTTGCGCCGGGGGGGAACGGGATTGAGGGATAGTTGCAGGAAGGAGTGTAACGACCTGCAAATTTTCAATCGCGGAAGGAGGTAATTGTCGAGTGCAATGCGGAGAAGGCGTGTACCGCTTAAGCCTTTGTCAAAGCAAGCGGTATGTATTATTATTTCTTACACTTGCGATTCTCGGCAGTAATTATTTAGTTTCAGACATGGTCACTTCTGATTTGGTAGCATGAAATCCACGTTACTTGCCTGCAGGCATATAGGTTAGCTGGTTTATGTAAGTTCTATATCATCCTTCTTTGCGGCTGTCTCCTCATGTCTCCTCCTCGGCCAACTTTCATATCGGGGCTTTCGTCCGAGTTGCATCTCAGCGATACTTGTTGCCATATAAATTCGGCTACTAGTAAGTCAAGCACCCAAACTCCCACAGCGTACCTCCCATCAGTCACCTCTTATCGAGTGTCTAACGATACCATCGGTCCATATAGGTCCATCGCCCCAATCGGAGGACCCTTTCATCATCTAATGTTATCCGAATCAAGTGATTTCTAGAGTAACTGTTTGAGCGGCCCATTAGGAGAATGCCACATCATTGGAGTGGAGCCGAGTAGAAGATTTGTCGTTGACATTGAGCGCCAGCGCCATCTATGTCATAGTAGGGACCCATCACCTCTTATCAACTAGAACAACACAGCCTATGCCATCATCCCATGAAATCCATCCGGCCGTGACAGTAATTTCTACGTATTGCATCGGTTGGATATTACTACTTACTTGGCTTGCAGTGAGGATCGATGTGATTCGGAGATAGAGCGTTTTTTTTTCGTCGACCGTCCACGGTGATCCCACTTGTGAAGAGAGCCGTGAGTAAGGAGCGCCGCCTGTCACTGATCTCGTGGTTACTACGGAATTTTCAGACATGGGTTATGAAACGCTCTAAACAAGCTCTTGGCAATTGTTAAAGTTTGAAGTGCACGCCGTCAGGGAATCTGCGATTGATAGTCGCCAGAATCATTATCCTCGTAAAGCATTTTGCCAAGGACTCCATGCACAGCAGTTACAGAAGTTCAGAACCAGTGCGGCGCGAGTCTCAAGACTTAAGAGACCCATAAGTACGTAGACAGTTTCTCCTTCTTTATGTAGTTACTATTAGTAAACCTTCCATTCATTTCTACCCAAATGTAGAACGCCGCGAGAACCATCAGTATCTGTTCGCAGGTCCTCCGCCCATCGTAATTGATGGTGGCGTTCAAATACTCACGTTCAGGAGGATCAGACCACTGTTCAGTCCAGGTAGTACTAGACCTCAATGTTATGACCTGCTATTAATATCGACTTGACGTGGCTAGCTCTTCAATGATTCACCAGGCCCAAGACGCGGATTGAACAGCCATCCATCGGAGAAGTCTTCAAGGCAGCAAAGCCCAAAATGGTCAATAATATACGCTTGTGGAGAATCAGAATGAAACATGATAGACGGACGGTATGAACACAACTGTTAAACTAACGAAAGAAAAATATCAGGTCAGTCCGAGAGTGAATGAAAATATTCGGCCAGGATAAGAGACCGTAAGTAGCCCGTGAAATCTCTCACTCCCTTCTTCCTCCGCTCATCAAGAGCGCCATGAGATCGTGTGCGGGTTGATTGGTTGAGCCAGGCGGGCCCTGCTGTTGATAGTGGAGAGGAAGCATGTGTGGAGGGATTTGCTGCTGTTGTTGTTGCTGCTGCTGCTGCCTCATGGAGAGCAGAGGCGGCTGGATTTGAGGACCTTGTTGTCCAAAACCTCCGTTAGGACCACGGAGATTACCTGGTATACCATTGGCACCATTTAACCCCAGAAGCTGGGCTTGCGCAGGGTTAAGACCTCCAGGGTGCATCAGGCCTTGCATGGTATTGTGTCCGTGCAGCTGATGGGTTCCTCCGGGGTGGGGCACACGCATTTGAGGGGCGCCATTGAAGCCAACATTTCCCGGAGGGAAGTTATTGAACTGCTGTTGGAGGGCAGCATTACCATGCACCGGACCGTGTAACCCACCAGGGATAGCCATTGCCGAGTTTAAGAATTGAGCAGGCTCATGAGGCGGCCGCCCACCTAAATTAGCCAGACCAGGCGGCAGGCGTTGAGCTGAAGGCTGCAAAGGATTCGGTGAAGGGCCCCCACGGAATTGGGATGATTGGAGAGGTATGCCTCCATTGCGGTTCATGTTCGCCTGGTGTAATCCTTGGTACATCTGAGGAGGACCGCGTTGACCACCAAACTGCATAGAGTCATCAATGTCAGAGAGCATGGCACTATTTTGCCTGCTCCGAGGAGGGGCAGCGGAGCGTAAGCCGGGCACCATGCCATCTGGGACAAAATTCCTGTCGTCAAGACGGCTATCGTACAATGAGTCCAGGCGGGTGTGGCCAGGATAGTGCTGGGAGTGGCCGAGTTGGTTTTGAAGATGGTGAAGGTTAGAGGGATGATTGAAATGTGCGACATCTGAAGCCAACGCTTCTGGTAGAATATGAGGCCTCTGACCCTAAAACTGATATCAGAGCTGATAACAGGTAGACAGTGATACGACCTACATGTGCTGAATTGCTCAACATGGCAAATATATCTTCCATAGCTCTGGCATCTGGATTACCCGTGTGTATTCCATTATATCCACTGAGCTCGCCCCTCTGAGTTGGTGTTGGGCCGCCCATTGGAGCCTTTCCCATTCCTGGTTGAGAGTCTCTCCCTTTCCCGTCAAAGAACTTTGCAAACCGGCTGCCTTTCGCGGCTGCGATTCCAGGGTTCAATTGCTCGTACGGACCAGAGTGGCTAGGCAAAGGCCCGCTAATGGGTACGTCGACTTGTTCAACGGTCATATGCCCAAAGGCATTGCGATCTCCAGGAGGTGCGACAGAGGTTCGACGGAACGCATCCAAAGGCGACAATCCAAGTCCTTCCCGAGCTTCCTCGAACGGCGAGAAGCCTCGAGTTACTCTCACAGCGTCCGCATTGTCGTTATGATGTATAGTTGATAGAGGTCCATTTGAGGGAATGGTTGAGTTGATTACTGGCGTGCCATTCTTCGACACAGATACCGGGGAATGCGAGCCTGTGTAGGAGGGAGGGGTGTGACCTACAGACCCCTGAGGAGTTTTGGAGGCAAAAGAAAGAAGACGACAGCCTGGCGGAGGGGCAGAGTGAGGAGCTGATGGGACAGCAGTGCTGAGTACTTCAATAGAAGGCTTTGGCAAAGCTTGAGGTGCCGGTAAATCAGTAGAAATAGGCTTGGGGAAGAAGCGAGAACCTCCTGATTTTTCTTTATCGATGTCAGATTCGGGGGCACCTGTTGATACTCCAGGTGCAATGGAAGACGACGAGGACGATATCATAGACAGGAGTACACGAGAACCATCGTGAAGAGCTGACTCAGCCTGTGGCGAAGGTGGAGAAGTAGACAACTGCGAAGAAATTGGCTGAGGTGGAAGATAAGTGCGATGTTCTGTAGTTGCTTCGATCGATGACAGATCTATCCGTGTATTAGCACATCGAGCCTGCCTAAGAGAAAGAATTGACTTGCCATTTGTAGGAGTAGAGCCCTTGGTCTCTGAAGATGTGTCTGCGAGTAA